ACTTGTTGGGTCTTTCCCAAAAAGACTCATGGCTGTATTCGATCAAAAGGGTGCTTCTACTAAATACTGAGCAAAGGGTCTGAATACTTAGGACCATGTGATATTTCAGTTTTTCTTTTTTAATAAATCTGCAAAAATGTCAACAATTCTGTGTTTTTCTGTCAATATGGGGTGCTGTGTGTACATTAATGAGGGAAAAAAATTAACTTAAATGATTTTAGCAAATGGCTGCAATATAACAGAGTGAAAAATTTAAGGGGGTCTGAATACTTTCCGTACCCACTGTATATAGGTAAAAAAAATGATATATATATATACACACTGTTCCGTTTCTTGCACAGACCGATCGTTTTGTGTCTTTACACATCAATGTATCGTCACGAACCGCAGGGTTTAATTTGGTTTTGTTTGACTCTCAAAGCCGTGATTCCCATTCACCTCCATTATATGACTGACAGACTGCAACGGTTTGTGTTAAAAATCTTTGTTTGTGTTCTACTGAAGAAACAAAGTCACCTACATCTTGGATGCCCTGGGGGTAAGCAGATAAACATCACATTTTCATTTTTGGGTGAGTTTTCCCTTTAAGTAAATAATTTTCACTTGTTTTGTAATTGATTTTTTATTTGAAAAGCAGGACAAAACAGTAAAAAGCACATTTTGGCAATTTAATTAATGCAATGGTGAAATAATATGACAAAATAGGCCTACATGGGGGGGAAAATGTGAAAAACCGTGTTCGGTATTCAGTATGAATGAACCCAGTGTTTCATTTTGTTCGGCCTCGGCCAAGAATTTTCATTTCGGTGCATCCCTACTTTACATTGTTTTTTAAAGCTGCTCACCCGATTTGCCACAATTTTATTTAATATTCAACGTGTCATTTCCCCTGGACTACACATGAAATCTAGTTTCTCCTCCCAAATCCTCATTCACGCCTCACCCATCTTTTTTATACAGGGCATTTATTAACACAAACATCGATTTTCCATCTTTTGTTTACTTTGAAGTGGAAAAACACTGCAGATCAGATATATTTTTTACTTGTCAAAATAACAGAAATCATTATCTTATCAAATTCGGTCAATACAAGTCAGATGTTGGCAAATTAGAAATGAGCGGTCTGCGAGTTCGTACAGAAATGCTTTATCTTAAGGGTTTCCATTTTTTATCTCTCCTCACATTTTTAAACACACATTCAAGTTTGAGTCACGTCGAGTTTATTTACATTGACATTTATTTCCCACAGTTTATAATGAATGGAAATTATAATTTTCATTGTTCTCTATACAGAGTTAAATTGGAAGAATATTAGTCTAACATACTAATTTATAGTGTTTAAAACATTTGTAAATGTTTTATGTACCAGCATTTTACATTTCAGAATGTAATAAAGTGTGATTTATTTATTTTATTTATCTTTTTTTTCTCAACTATGCAATTTCAACCGATCACGGTTTCTCTATTCCAGAAATATGGTACACCTGCATCTATATTTGTTTTTGCAGTGCAAGTTGGTGTTGGAAGTGTCCTTGCATTCAAAAAAGCAAGTGGAGTGCAAAAAAGGAACAAAAACAATGGTCTCTAGACACATCTGTCAAAGCTGAACTAATTTTAACATGCGACTTAAAAAAAAATGCCACTGGCATGCAACCACACAATGTTTGTTTAAATAGCAAAGAAAGGAAACAAATGTGTTTTGTGTGACTGATTAAAAATATCAACAGATTAATAGTTGCAGCTGTATTACACTCCTCATTAGTCCAGGCTTTTCTGACGGTTTCTTACCCTGGCTGGGTGCCCTGAGACACATCTACCCCCAAGCAGTGCGGCCGGTGCAGAGTGTTGATGTAACAAAGGTCCTGTGGGCTGAACACATGCACTGTGCCATCTGCACAACCGCAGAAAACAAACGTCTCGCTCA